ATTAAGGAAGCATTGTTGATTTTTGATGGAAGGAAAGAGGAGTTCGATCATCGCATATACAAATTTTCAAAGTACACTGAATTTGGTTCCACATGGGAAGTGTCATACCATCCCGCAACTAGCATAATGAAATGTAGTCGCAAAAAGTTTGAGTTCTTTGGACTTCCTTGCAGCCACATGATTTCTGTGATGAAATGTGAACACATGACTGAAATTCCCCCCAAGTTGTGTGATGCATCGTTAGACAAAGCAAGCAAGAAAGGTTGGTGAACAACATTGCCAAGCCCAATTCTCTAGCACTCTTACACAGGAGACACGCTTTGGGGTTCTTTGCTCCTTTTTTACTGAAATGTGTTACTATGCCTCACAAACATCTGAAGGATTTGAAGAGGCTAGGAATGCATTTTTCACTATGACATGTCGGATGAAGCAGCTTTGCATGGCCAAGGGAACTAATGTTGATGAAGGAAAAAGTTCACTACCGCCATTTGGGGTTGGGGATCCGAAAGTAGTGAACACGAAGGGGAATACTGGGGGATCCTACATGGCTAAACCTCGAAAGCCAAGGCGATGCCAATGTTGCAGGTATACATTATATTGTGCTTTGTGTCTTAATTTTGTTATTGTGAGGTAGTCTTGGCATTTTTGTTCTCTTTAATGATTGGTGATTTACTTGACAATGTAGGGGTGTCGGCCACACAAGGAGAACTTGTCCCCAAAACGATCATAAAACGTGACAAGTGGGTAGCAATTTGTTTGAGGAATATGATGATTATTATCCAATTGGTACTCCCACCCCTTTTACACCGAAGCGTCTCAGGAATAATATGAGGCCATGTAAGACCCACCCTGTGAAGAGATGACTTTTTGTCACTAATGTGGATACGTCTCTAGTGCAGTTGAGCAAGAATGTTAATGACTTGCGTAGTTGCGATGCACAAGTCGTCCAAAATTCAGCGTTCACTGATGCGGATACGTCTCTAGGTGATTACTTTTATGGCATCTTTTCAATTCAAATTATGTTCATTTTGCTTACATTTGTTTTGCAAATTTCATGTGTGGCTGCTTAATTCTAATTTCTTGATATGCCAAGATGGATTTTAGCTAGAACATTTAGATGTCATAACTAATTATGATGTTTACAACTTGATTATGAAAATAAATAATTTACGAACAAAAAATGACAAAAGAGTGTAATGACCGATATATCAAAATTCAATTTGTTATGATTTGAATCATAGATTTCAAGTGAACAAACCTTAACGACAATATAATTTGTTTCTGCAGGTGTTGCTATGGGTAATAGTTGATATGATCGAGCGGGTGATATTGGGAGCTAAACTAAGATTTTTTTTTTAATTTTTTTTGAGGACTTAAATCTGTTAGTATTTTGTATAAATACTCTTAAATGATGGTTGATGGATATTTGTTTTGCTGTATGGAAGTTCATATTTTGTATGCACACTTCTTTTTTTTCTTGAAGAAAGAATTTTGTAAGGAATTATCATTCACCAAATGAGGTTGTAAGAAATCCTACACTACCTTGCAGTAGTAACTCGCTTTTCAATATTGTTGATCTTCCGTCCAGGTTCATCAAAAGAGTTGAATTGAATAAATAGTTGTATGGACTTGACGAAGACTAGAAGAAAAACTCTGCAATATTATTTTGATGTGATTGATGGTATAAATGGAAAGAATATTTTTGTTTCTACGTAAAATATTTTTTTTAATGCATCGATTTTATCTAGAAAAATATTATTTTTATTTTCGGCATTTGGTTGACACTTAAAACAAAAATATTTTATTACTTAATTTAGAAATTTTGATTTAATAAAGTGTAATTCATGCCTTTTTAGTGAGTTAATATATTTTTTTGAAAATGGTAAAAAGGTGTTGAAAAAATAGTGAGTGAGAATCAATTTTATAAAAATTAACTTATGAAATTTTAAAAGGTAAGTCATTTTTTGAAAAATTATACAAAAATATTTTGCTTAAAAAATATTTTACTTACTTTTTATTTAGTCAAATAACAAACAAATATTTAAATGTTTTACGTTAAAATAAAGGGAACCTAAATTATCAGCTGCTTCCATATCTCTATGTAAGCCCCCATATCTTATCCATATAAGGTTGTGATTCACGTTATCATATGTATAGATCTAATTTAATTTATGATTTATTAGAATTCATAAAACTATAATTTATTAGAGATTCAGAAAAACGAATGTTCAAGTTTTCAACTCAACTACCACGGCCTGCGTTGTCAACCACATGGCAATAGAGTGAATTTATTTAAACAATTTAAAGTAATGATAGGGATCATAAAAAAACATCATAAAAATGGTTATGAAAGATTCTTTGTCGTTACATCACATATATAATAAAATATCTCACATTAATCAAAGAACGAAAAATTTTTAAAAAATATTTTATGATATTTTTTCGTGATTTCTAGTATTATTTTTTTTATTAGTTGAATTAAAAGAGTGTTCCTATAAATAATGTAAAATTAACTAACGGGATATTGAATTAAGAGAGTAGTCCAATAAATAATATGAAATTAACTAATGAGAGAGTTAGGGGTGTAAATCTGGTCCCCAGCCCATGTTGTGCAGTAGGAAAGATCTATGCCAAACTCACCCTCTTATGTCTCAATTTAACGCTCTTTTTTGAAAATCCTTTTGGTTGACAAATTAAGCTGCTAAGGCTCCCTTTATTTATTATTTATTTTAAATGGTTAAAAAGTCATCAACAAATGAAAGGAAAACATCACAAGAAACAAGATTGATCATCAACAAATGGTAGGTTATTCATGCAATCAGACATATCAGTGAGCTACCAAGCAGGTGGGGTATGTGATGTAATTTGGCAATGTTCTTCAATTCAATTCAATAGCTAAGTTTGGCAATGTTATAATTTGGCATAAGCATTGACAGACCATTGGAGTGGAGTTTTAGAGAGGTCTTTGTTATAATTTGACTTTGGCTGCTGTAATAGCATCCCATTGCTGTAATGCTGTAATACCTGTTTTGGTCTATTAACACAATTCCCCAACAATGGTGAGGGAACCCGTCCCAAAAATATTAAGAATATATGTATATATATTATCATAACTAAGCAAAAATATTAGTGTTATTGATATCTAAATAAAAGATAAGACCACCATCTGAAAAAATAAAAAATATAAGATAAGACCCATTATCACATAAGATGATATCCAAAGAGCAATCATCAACCTAAAAAAGAATAACAGCCAATATGTAGTGGTTGCTTTCATTGCCTCCTGTCTTGTCCTGGTAATTCCCAGGAAAGAAAATGATATAATGTGACTAAAATGACATACACACGCACAAAATGGATTGTAAGACAACTTGTTCAACCTAACAATACTTGAGCAACAAACAACTCATTGATTTTTCACTGGAAATTTCAATAAAAATTAAGCTACTTTATAATTGGTATTTTTAAAAATATTATTTTCTTCCACACAAAAAAAAAAAGAGAAGCAAAGTTTAGCTATTAAAAGCAATAAAATAACTTTCAAAAGGTATAACCAAATTCACCGATTCCTTCCATTTAAAGATTCTGTTGAATAGTAAAAAGCAGTCAAGGTCTTAAAAACTTGTGGGATGGATGGCCAGAAAAAAAAAAAAATTGAATAGTAGGGAATGGATAAAAGGCAGAGCATAATAGATGCACCAACCATCTCAAAGGGCTTCTCATATTCCAGTCGTGGCTGCTCCCAGACCCGCAAGAAGCCTACAACAATGCCATCTCAAAGCACTTAGTAAAGTAAAACAAAAACGAATGATAGACGATGTAGCAAAAAATTTGTATCTTTAACTGAGCAAACTCATATTTGTTTGTACAACAACTATCCCAAAGAAGTAGACAAGATGAAGGTACAAAAATTATTAAGTATAATTTGACAAATTTGAAAAGTCAACACCCCTTGGCTACATTACAAATCTGAAAAATCTGGACAGATTTCACAACGTTTTTGAAAAACGTCATAAAAAAAAAACGTCGGTGTATCCTCTTTTTTTTGTAGTGTCTTTTATCCTATAAATAGTGGTTAGCACTATCTTAATAAAATGACCAACAAAGTCAATATGAAGTTGGTAATGATGTATTGATAATGCCTCCATCCATTCCAAACATCAATAAGATCTTCAAAACTCATGCTAGTTTAAGTATTTCAAAACAGACATACCATCATAGGTCTCACTAACAAAATCTAATTTCCAGCTCATGTTAGCCTCTACTTCCATTTCAATTCACCCCTAGCTCTGAGTTCTGCACAAGATAGCACACTTGAGAATATAATTTTATAACAAAGGTTGAGTTATAAACCCAAAGTTCACGAGTTTAAGAAATGTGATAACGTCATTGATTGTACGAACTTATGAAAAATAAAAAAGAATAGAGCATCACCAGCTTTATATTGCGCAATATCACCAACAATAGGAGCTGAATTATGCTTGTATATCACAAGATCAAGTAACAAGCGAGCCCTATGCAAATAGTCAAACTACATGCCAAAAGTAGTGAGTACGTAAAAACATCACACATTATAAAATTAGTCTTCATAAAACATAAGATACTGATAAGTGGACAGTTGGGTATAAATGTAAGTACCTTGATTACACCCGAAGGCAAAGGTTTCCCTTGCATATATTTGATGACGAAAAGACCACAATCATAGCTATAGGAATGAGTGTAGTTGTAACAATAGAGTCAACGAACTTAGAGATTATAACATTAATGCTTATTTAAAAATTAAGAACGATAATGTAGTGTATTACCTGTTGTCTTGGCGCGGCATGTCTTCCAACCATTGAAATGCAAACGAACTAACATCTTGAACATAATCTTCTCCATGTGCATATTGAAGCAGCTTATGCAATGATTGTACCTGTTGGTGGTAGGTAGTAAGGTACATAGATCAAGAAACAAAAAAGTGGATACAAGTGGTATCATAATGGTTATTCTATTACCAATAATGTAGCTTGATTTTTTCGATCCTCATCGGTGCCAATACATCTGCTGGAGTCGAATAGATAGGCAACCCATTTTTCCATGTTTACATTCAAGCACAACCAGTGGTTTTTCCCATGGTTGAAGGGCATGTAAATCTAAAAATATAACGTCAAATGTACATGCAAAAAATAAATAAATACATAACATGGATCAAATGTTATTGTGCATGGTAAATTTGGAAATTGGGTAATAGTAGTATTTTATCATGTTACCTCCTCACAAGCATGAAGGGGGCCAGTGTATCTGTAAATTCCAAAATAATCTTCTACTATATCTTTCATTGTGTCATCAGAAGGTTGACACAAAATCTTTTGCTGCATATTCAATTTTAACATATAAATAACTTGTGCCTAAATAAAAAAAGTCTTTAGGTATGGCTAATACTTACCGATACATGGGTCGGAAAGTACCAAACCTTGTGATCCTTATTTGGAAACTTTTTCCTTTGTTTATTTGTCAATTTCACAACAATGAGATTTATAATCTGCAATGCAAAATATATGAAATTTATGAATAGACAAAGTAAAGTAACTTGGATGATGGAATGGTAGCAAATAAAATAGGAGAATGAGAAAAGTCTTACACATGAGGATATCCACTGATATGGTTTCAAGGACCACAATTCCTTCCGTGTTGCAGATTGTGCTTCCACGTAGTGCAGTTTCATCTGTACAAGATATTCCCTAGCACATGGATAACTATATGAGTTAGAAGGTATAGTACTTCATACATAACAAGTTAAAGGTAGTCAAATTGTACCCTTCTGAAAGAGATTCATCAAATGCATATCGTAGAACGAGACTGTCATAGTCATTTAATGGGTCTGGCAAAGGCACGGATGACTTGTAAAGGTATTGAGAAGAATAGTGCATAAAACAAATCAAGCTTGGTTAGTGTATGTTCATGAAGATGGAGTAAGCGCAAAATAACCACATATACAAAAGATACTATAATAGTTAGTTCCAAACCTTTGGGATTTCAGGAACAACATTACCCCCAAGTTGATCAAGTAAATTATCAAATAGCTGATACAAGTAAAAAAAAAAGTAAGAAACAATCATTTAGTTTAAATATGTTACACATATATCAAACATGTTTTCAGGAACAACACTATTTGTTACACATATATCAAATATGTTTTGAGACACAATCATTTAGTTTACTTGATCGAGATTGTCATGAATATTATTGTCAACGTTGTTGTCAGTTGACGATGGCTTCAACTATGGTCTTTTCTTCATTACATCAAATTTCACAAAAGGTGTATGCAACCACTGACTGGCTTTGCAATTCTGGGTCCCTCGAGTTTGAGGACCACGAATAACACTACATGATGATGACATTGTTACAGCATTCACTTCAACTGCCTTTGTATCGCTCTTTTTTGCGCGCGATCGCCCCTTTTGTGGAATAGGAAGCTGTTCATTATTTAATGCTTTCCCACCAACCAATTTGGCTCGTTTCTTTGCAACTGCCTTTGCATTTGGTGGTGTGAGGATTGGTTTTGTTTTTCTCAAACGCAAAGTTTCCATTGGTTGTTTGTCATTCATATTCCTTATCTCATCCTCATCTACAAACTTCGGGGAATTGGCTGCAACCTTTTCGATACCACTATCATCGATACCAACCATTTCAATGTCAATTCGATGCTCCTCATGTAGTTTGCTTGGTGGGGCTTTAACATGTCCACCATCAAATGGAATGCGTCGTTCTAACAACTCAAGAATTTGACCAACTTGGTTCTCCATTTTGACCAGTCGCTGCTCCGCAAGTAGTTTGCTTGGTGGTGTTTTAACTTGTTCTCCATCAACTGGCATGTGTTTTTCTAACAGCTCAAGAATTTTTTCAACTTGATTCTCCACTTTGGTTAGACGCTTCTCATCCTCATCTTGCCTTCTGTCCTTGTGGCCTTGGACCAAAAGGGCATGAATTTCAATGACTTGTTCCTCAACTTTAGCCAATCGGGAGTCATCATTCTTGTCAATTCTTCCCTGGCTAAGAGTTATTGCATTGGACTTTTCAACAATGTTAGGCAAAGCCACCTATTCACACATATACAATAACTTGTTAATGTCATAGGTGTAATGTAAATTGAGCTATAATTATAAAAAGTCATGTGTTGTAAATATTTACCTCAACATTTAAATATCCTCCCAAAGCTTTAATTTGATTCAAACCCTGTTTAATTTCTGAATTGCCCCAATAGGATAAGTGTAACGCCCTCAAAATAATAACATTAAACCCATCAATAGAGACATGCATTGATATATAAAAGTTCCACTTTCTTCTATTCATCAGAGTTCCATTAACAAAAGTATTACATGTTAACAACAAAAGCAAATGCCCTATAGGCTTACAGCTTTCCAAGTTAACACTTGGTTACATCAAAAGAGTACTAACTCATTTACACATTAAGCCCTTGGCTTGAATATACATGTAATACATCAAAGAAATAAAGCAACAAAAGTCCGCTTGCCTCTAGCCTCCCAAGCTACGTCCTTGGAGGTGGCATGCTACCTGTACCTGAAAATGATATTCCCATATAGAGTGAGCCACAGCCCAGTAGAAATATACTAAACCAGATATGAACAATGACTAAAAGATTAGCAGTTGATAGATGGCCAACACTGATACTTTCCCTTATCACACTTTACATTTTCGTGACATACAAGTCCATATTACCATTCATTTTCCAATTCCTTTCAAATTCTCAATTTATAACTATGGCTCAGAACCTGGCCAAACAACTCATAATAAGCGCTTTCCCATTTCATAATAGATAAGCATACTAGCTATATCACACACCAACAGATAAGCATACAAGCTATATCATCACTTCCACAGATATGCATATGAGCACTATCACACTTCCAATGACAAGCATATGAGCTCTGTCAACACATTAATAGATAAGCATATGAGCTCTATCTATGGAGTCCATCCCCTATCTCCTCCCAACACATCTGGTTTAGAGGTCCATCCCCTATCTTCCTCTAAACCGTGGAGTACATCCCCTATCTCCTCCAACACAACACAATGCATATAAACAATAATTATACACATCATCACACAACACATAAATTTAATGTATTCTTTCAACCGTCATACACAATGACACATCCCAGTGATTAGTTCCAGTTTGCCTAATCATCATGCACTGTCTACAACAATCAAGACTATCCTCCACCGATAGCCTAAAGCAGTTATTTCTATACAAAAAATAAATGCAACAATGGATATATAATCAACATTTCAACTAGGTGAGTGATAAATGATCCAACTACACCCTTTTTCCCTTCCCTTTCCAATTTCCACATTTTCAAGTCAATCCCTCATTTCCCACAATTAATTATACAAATTAATCAATCAATGTAATTAGGGCATTATCCATAATTATCATTATAACCCTTAGGTTCCATTTTCATTAATGTTTCAACATTAATTCCACTTTCCCATGCCAAACATGCATTTTGTTTTTATATAAATAAAAACCCCAACTTTGGTAAAATTACACAAAGGCCCTAAACTTTCACAAAATTACCAAACCAACCCCAACATCTCAAAATACTAAAATTTAAAGACAAAACTCATAGTAAGGAGTAGGTTATCCCTACCTCGAAGTTAGAGCTCGGATGGAGAAGAAGCCAAAACCAAAGTGCACCAAAGACCAAGATTCTCGGATCAAAACGATGCCCTCGACGATCCACACAACTTTTACAAAGGCCGAAGAGAAGGAGGACACTCTAACTAGATCAAACCCTAGAGAGAAGGGAGTTTCTAGAGAGAGAGACTCTGAAAAATGGTTTTTAGAAAAAGTAGGAGAGATAAAGAAAAGCAAAAAGTGATTCAAAATCACCCAGCGGACAACTCATATACGTATGACCCGCTCGAGCGGAGAACACAACGCTCGAGCGCCAAGAACAAAAATCTGGACACGCTCGAGCGCAATAAGGCCCGCTTGAGTGCCCAGACACAGGAATAAAGTACATCCGCTCGAGCGAGAAAACCAGTCCGCTCGAGCGCAAATCTCCCTCTCCCAGAACCCTCACCAAGACAGTACTACCCGCTCGAGCGCAGAAAAACCAGCTCGAGCGTAGAAAACTCCTCTGCAGAAGTTTTGCAGGGACAAGAAATACTAGGAGTGTGCAATCTCCGCTCGAGCGCCAGAACACCCGCTCGAGCGCTAAACTAGAAACCGAACTCCGCTCGAGCGCAGAATGACCTGCTCAAGCGTAACACCAAAAACCTGGGCAACAAGGATAGAGACCAAGGCTTAACCCACCTATTCAACACAAGTCCATAAACATCCCAAAACTCAAACAATGGATTTAAATGATGGCAACAAGATAGATACAACTACCAACTCCACGGAACCGAGTCCGGAATACAACAGAACAGCAAAGGGACAACCGGGATCGCTATAATAAGCGAGGCATGGAGTTGGAAGTAGCGACCAACTCCCTTTTGCAAGCAAATTGTTCCAAGTAAAATAACTACATGGGGAAAAAAAAAGAAAAAAAAGAAGCCATTTTAATGTGTGTTAGACAATATGCAATAAAAAATAATAGATGAAATAATTACACATCAAGGGAAAGTACCATTAGAAGAAGCAAACAGCCGCACATAGCAGACCGCTCTTTGACCTTGGCAATAGCAATGCGGTCGACAAGAAAATCAAGTGTGTGCTTTGCCCAATTGAATTGACTGATGGACTCAACATTTTTAACCATTTGAATAAATGATTGGTGTACGCCTGCCTTTGTGGTGGGGCACAAGAGGGCTCCAATGATGTGTAACGCCCTCAAAATAATACATAAAACCCATTACTTTAGAGATACATTGATATAAAAGAAACTAACCATTTCTATTCATCAGAGTAGTTCTTACTACCATATTACATGTTAACGACAAAAGCAAGTGCCCTATGGGCTTACAGCTTTCCAAGTCAACACTTGGTTACACAAAAGAAGAGTACTAACTCTATAAAAAAAGAAGCCCTTGGCTTGATGTACATGTAATATAAACAAAAGAAACAAAGGAGCCTTCAACTCCCATATCCATCCAAGCTACGTCCTTGGAGGTGGCATGCTACCTGTACCTGAAAATAATGTCCCATATAGGGTGAGCCAATGCCCAGTAGAGATATGCTAAACACGATATGAGCAGTAACTAAGACATTAGCAATTGATAAATGTTCTAATTCCATACATCAATTCATAACCCATTTCCATTACATGACCACTATGTCCATGTTTCATTTCATTTTCCATTTCTCGTCAATTTCGCAATTTACATTAATGGCTCAGAGCCTAGTCATTCACTTATATGAGACCGTGACTCATATTAAACATTTCCCATTCTACAATAGATAAACATATTAGTTGTATCAACATCTCAACAGATAAGCATACAAGCTGTATCCACATTTCAACCGATAAGTATACAAGCTGTATCAACACTTCCAAAGATAAGCATATGAGCTGTATCATCACTTAATCTGACAAGCATATGAGCTGTATCAGTGGAGTCCATCCCCTATCTCCTCCCAAACAACATCCGGTTTAGAGGTCCATCCCCTATCTTCCCATAAACCGTAGAGTACATCCCCTATCTCCTCCCACACACACACAAAGTATATACACAATGGTCATATACACAATCAATCAATACATAACGTTAATGTATTCTATCAGCCGTCATACTCTATGACATATCCAATTGATTAGTTTCAATTTGCCTAATCATCATGCATTGTCTACAACAATCAAAACTACCCTCCACCGGTAGCCCAAGCAGTTATTTCTAAACAGATAATAAAAGCTCCAACAGATAGAATATCAATGTTTTCAAAAGTGAGCGATTAACAAATCCAACTCCACTATTTTACCATATAATGAGCCAATTTCATTATTCTCAACACAATTTCATAAGTCCACAAATTTCCCAAATTAATTATACCAATTAATTTACACCACAAATTAGGGTTTTCTACCCCATTTCCCAACATTGGCCCAATGGCCTATATATCAACAACCCACATCAATATCCTTATTTTGAAACCCAAAATACACATTTTAGAATCAAAATAATAAATTTCCCTTTTTACATTTTGAAACCCTAGATCCCATAATCAAACCCAACATTAACATTTTATCAAAACAACCAAAAATCTATGTCAAAGATCATAAGAGTGAGTAGGAATCCCTACCTCAAAAGTTGACACCCAACGAAAAAGAAGATGAAAATGAAAATGCTCCAAATCGCAAGTTTCCCGGATCAAAAGATAACCCTCGACGATCAACAACTCTTTTGTAAAGGCCAAAGGTGAGGAAACAACTCTAACTAGATCAATACCTAGAAAGAAGGCAAGGTTCTAGAGAGAGAGGCTCAACAATGGAGTATTTGGGAAAGTAAGAGAGAGAAGAGATGTGAAAAAGTGATTTTTAAAGTCAAGACACGGAGCTTTAAACCCGACGCCCCGCTCGAGCGTAGAAACCCCCTCTCGAGCGTCACTCACAGACTCCCACTCGAGCGTCCAAACCGCCGCTCGAGCGCTGAATACACACTCCCAGCACTTTTGCAGAACCAGGTCCCTGCTCGAGCGTCCAACTCCCCGCTCGAGCGTAACACACAAACTCCCGCTCGAGCGTCCAAAATCCCGCTCGAGCGGACAACCCTGCAGAGAAAATACTGGAAGGGTGATTTTCCCGCTCGAGCGGAAAGGCCAAAATCTGGGCAACTACACTTGGTTCCTAAGCTCAACCAACCTGTTTCAAATCTGCCCAACACAACCCAAGACTCAAATACAAAGAGTAAAGGATGTAAACGAGATGTACACAACAACTAATGAAAAGGGAAACCGGGATCGCTATATGATGTATAAGACAAATTTCCTTTTAAATTCAGTTCCAGCATCTTTTGTTTCAAGCAGATAAGATTTCAGAGATGTGAACGGAACAAATTTATTCTTCACCGCAAGTTCATCACATAGGTTTGTAATTTCATCTACGAACTCTGTTAACTTCACAGGTAGACCATTGGAAGGTAATCCCATCAACTCATGAACATCTTCTATGGTGAGAAGCATTCGAAGACCGTGGACATTCAATGAATGAGTTGAAGGATCAAAGTTCTGAACTAACCAATGACACAAATCATGATCTATGTGCGTGCACCTAAGGCTTAGGATGCCATGAAACCCTATATCAGTCACTGCTTGTTGTTGTGCTTTGTCTAACCTTCTAATAATCTTACAAATTGATGTAAGCTCAATCCGGGTTTGAATTTTTACTTTTGGAGGCTTTTGTTGGACCACAATTTTTAATTGGGCATATTTTTCAGATTGCAGCTTTCCCATTTGTATATACATATTTTTTTCTTTTTCAGGAAGTTGATTCCATTTGTCCCCAATATCCTATATTACATGCATAAAATCATATGAACAATTACATACAAGCATACAAGTACAAAAGGAATACTACAAACAACAAGAATACGTTGCACTTACCTTCACGTCTACTTTCATTTGGTTTTTTTTAACTCCATTGATTGTTCTTGGCTATAAACATATGAAAGTGAATATAAGAATTTGTATAATGGAAAATATATAACTACATACAAATAGATATTAACGAAATACCAAAAGAAAATGAATGGAGTGATCGGGCGCTTTGGAGGATCAGTCGGTTTATCCATTAGGCTTCAATCAGAATTCCTTGTAAAGAAAGACAAGAAAAATAAACTCATAATATCTTTGATTAGGAAAAAACACAAACAAACAAAAATCTTAAAGGTTATAGTACATTCATCAAATGCACGACATGCACACATGAATGGATTTGTTTTATAATAATGTAGTTAACAAAGACTATGTTTCCAATGTAAAAAGGAAAGACACTAAAAAAAATTCTAATCATAAACAAAAAATGATACCCCAGTAGCTTAGGTCACATTACCATAAAAAACAGACTAAAGAAGCTTATTTTTTAGGACAAAATTTGTAATTTGGTAAGGAACTTTTTTTTTGTCGCAAAAAGGAGCCAAATATTTTGGCACCATACGAATTGATAATAAAAACGACATTGTTTTTTATTTTATTTTTGGGACTATTGTAGAAAAAAATAAAAAACGATGTCATGGTTATGTATAGCTCCTTTGCTGCTTCAAGTCTCACTTTAGGTGTACAGTCAGAAGGTTGAATAACTTTATTAACTGGTTTTACTTGCTTTGGTTTTAGCTATGTTGTGGTTCACTTTCCCATATTTTATCTTGCTATTTTATTTTTTTTTATTCTCTGCATGGGTTTGGGAATGGCTTGAACCACATAAAGCACTTGAAAATTATAAATGTTTAGGGAAGCAATTTGTTTTTTAGAATACAAAATACAAGAAATGAGAAAATGGGAGAATGATTTGATACAATTGTATTTAGTAATATACATACACTAACTAAAGATTTGATGCACTAAGGACCCTTGCATACTGCTATACCCACTGCCACTCACAATTGAATCTTGGGTTGTGAATAGAGCTTCTCTTGTATTAATGCTATGATTATTATTTGATTTTATTATTTACATTTATTCTATCATTGATACTTTAGATTCATAATAAACTAGACTATTATCCGTGCTATGCACGGGTTGTATTTCACCACTTTGTCTTTTTTTTCCTCATAATAAAAAAAATAATTGAAAAAAAGAACCATTAAAATAGTAAATAAAAAGATTATTCAGAAGCATTGAACAAACTACAATCACATTTTTCTTTTTGTGAGTGTTTATGTTTATCTAACTTCAATCATATTAAAAAAATCAAATTATAAACAAATCACAAATTATAATTTTTTTATTCGCTAGACAAATCACAAATATTTTTATGCACTATCTAACTACAATATTAAGACAGTAAACAAAAAGAAAAGTCAAAAAGGAGAAAGCAAAAACAAGACTTACTGTTTGCATACGTGGTCATTGAAGTTGAAAGTGTAGAAGCGTGAAGTCAAGAAGGAGAAAACAAAAAAGAGACTCATTGTTTGCAATAGGTATGTGAAAAGTTAAAAAGAGTGTGTATTGGAGAAGTTAAAAAGACTTAGAAGAATTTAATAAGTGTTAAGTTTTTTTTCTCAAAAAAAAAACAAAAAAATTAAGAAATTAAGGTTCAGATATTGGAACTCCCACAAAACTTGTGGATTGGAGATAGATATAAATAAATAGATAGATATAGATATAGATATTTATATTTGTTTTAAATTTTTTTTAATATACAAATTATTTGTTTTGGAAAAGGCACTGCAGTAATTATGAGAGAAGTCAAAAAGTCTTGTGGGTTGAGAAAAGTTAATAAATGCTAAAGTTAATTTTTTTTTTTAAAAAACAAAAAATTAGAAAATTAGGATTGACACATTGAAGCTCCCATAGGGCTTGGGGGTTAAAAACCCCTTTTTGCTTAATAGATAGTATAGATAATACTAATATATGAGCACTAATACAAAATTGGTTAAAGGTCACAATTTTTAACTTTGACCTTATACTTTTAGTCTTAGTTTTTTTTTATACAAAAACTGTGATATCATAAATATTTTGCTTTTTAATTTGGCCATCACGCATATCATATAATTTAAATATATTGAAGCATAGAGGACCTTGTAGGAAAAAATATGTACTTGTCCAAGAAGTAGTTCAGCAACAACACAACCAGCAAACCAGAAGTCAATAGCTGTAGTGTACTCCGTCGATCGAAATATAAGCACAGATGTAAGAGGTATTGGGCTCTCCTTTTACCTACCAAAAATAAGGAATGAAGCATTTCAATCAAAACACAAAACTAAGGGAGAGGGGAAAAAATTAAAAGACATAAACCAACATGTCAAAACTTTAAAAATTCCAAAATGAAGTTGTTATTTGTAAAAGAGTTAATGAGGTGGTGGGAAAATAACATATATGAAAGCGCATCATTAGTGATGGAAAAATGTAAAATAATTACAATTACACATGAGGGTTTATAGAACTCTAATAAGTATATAGCATATTAATTAGGATACATGTTAGAGTGTAAATCCTTTGGAAATTAGGCCAAATGTTATAATTTGCATATGGTACACATCTCAAAAGGGGTGTAGTAGCATGACCATACATACCACACATAAACCCATATAAACTCTAGTTTGGAATGAATCAATAAATCAAAGAATCAAACCCCAAAAACAGAAAGAAACAATAATTTTTTAAAGGCATTTTTCTGTTTCATGTATCTTCATGCTCTTGTAAAAGCAATAAACAACAAAGAAGGGGGGCAAAGAAAAGAAAAGAAAAATAAGAAGTAAATTAATAATTTAGTGTCTTTGAAGTTTGAGGTTTTGAATGAAAATAGGTTTTTCTCGAATCAAGTAATTTTGATTTTTTTTTTATTATTTAATGGAAAATCAAGATGTGTGTATTTGCTAGTTCGATATGCGGTCAGATGTGTTATTTGACATGAATGTTGGAGGTAATCCTATCCTCTTTTTTTTGTTTATCATTGTTACTTACCTTCTATTGAAGCAACAAAAAAAAAAAAAAAAAAAAAAAAAGAGAGAAGCCAAGAAGGGTTGCTAATCCTGCTAAGAAGAGTGGAGTAACTAAGTTGGAAAGTGGGAGGGGTTTATTGAGGTCATTATCTTTTGTTGTGCTTTTTGTTGCTCTTTCATCCCTTATGGTCACCTTGGAGGATTAAGCTATCTCTCTCTCTCTCTCTCTCTCTTCTCTCTCTCTCCTCTCTCTCTCTACTTGGGTGATAAAAAAAAAAATAACTTAGACATGTAATGCTAAAGGATGGCAATGAGGGGAAGTAATGAAGGCGGCGGTGGTGGAGGTGCAATGATGGGTTGACTAGGGATTTCTTACGTCTTAGAACAATCTCTCATAGGGGGTTTCCAAAACATGGCTGGGCTTGATCATATAAGTAGTTATGACTAATATGGTAGTTGGTTATAATATAGAAATCATATATAGTTCATAACTAAATTGTATGGTACATCTAATGTACCATAGCATCACCCATGATGAGAAACCTCCATTTAATGATTGTTTATCGATAAAAATTTGAAACGTTGTAGACACCCCATTTTTGACCCCGTCCTCAAGACTTGGACGTCACTGTTTGAACACCCGGTGACATCATGTTTGTGTTCGTCTTGAGTTCCGGAGTCTCGGCTTGC